GGGACAATTACTCAATCCAATGACACGGCTGTTTTTGTAAGATGTGCTGCAACTCATTGTTTCCATTTTTAATTTCACAGCGACAGAGCGGAAAGAAGCTGCAACTCACAGGGATCTGAGTGGCATTTAAATTACTGGCTTTAAATAATAAGACAGAAAATTTGCAGCACTGCTTGCGGGACAATAAAACAACTTCCTCATTTACCCTACCATCATAACCAGACTGAGGTCTTTATGTTTGTAAAAACAAAGTCCTCTATCTTGACTAAAATGTGACCTAGAAGGGACAGCGCAGAGCATGTCTCAACCACAAACCTTAAGGAGAAAGAATGACCTGAATGTACAGCACGGTCTGATTGTGTGTGTGTGTGTGTGGGCCCTTCCCTCAGGCACCAGTATGTACTGTTAGTTGACTGCTGGAATGCTTTTACTACAAACAGCAGACTCACACACACTCTTAGACGTACACATGTGCTGACCTATCTGCAGGGGACACACCAGTCCAGACACGTTTACTGGGGCAGGGACTGGATCAATAGTGAATCCAGACTCCATTTGAGTAATGTCATGTTTGTTTTTTTTATTAATGTAGTTGTCCTACAAAGCCTCTCTTAATTAAGTAACTCTTCCTCCACTTCTTCTCAAATCCTACAGCTTACCCTGATTTGAGTTCATTCTGCTCCCTCATGTTTCTATTCTGTTTTAATCTATTTATTGTCTTTAATCTTCTATGAAGCTGTCTGTAGCTTTTGCCTAAAAGTTGATATAATCCAATATAATACATATTTTGACGTATAATTCATAAACGTTTGCTGCTTTTCTTTACTTTTGTGATAGGGAAGGGTTTGAATTGAGTTTTTCAGAATAAAAGAAGCAATTTCTAGATGTTAATTTGGGCTCTGGCAAATTGAGACAGCACCTACTTCTGGCATTTTACGGACGAAAAGATGAATCCAAAAAATAATGGATAGAATAATTTATAATCGAAAAAAAATGTTGTAGCCCTAATTAAGACCCATAGATTTGATCTGGGATCAACTCTTCTGCCTGTTTCATGGGAAACCTGCATGTACCTAATGTTTTGTATATTCAGTGTATTATGTGATATTCTAATGGAGTTTGGGTAAGAGGGTACTTTGCAGGCAAACAGAGTATCCTGAGACCAGAGGG